GAAGCCAGGCAGCAGGTGGCAGTGTACAAACTGCAGACGAGACTGCAGGTGGTTTGGAGTCTCTTTGTGATGAGCTCTGCATTGACTGTCCATGTGCTGTTTGTACGTCTTAAAGTGAATACAGAGCAAAACGAAAATAGTGATATACTGTAGATATATTGCTACATATATCATATTATGTTCCAATATATGCAAATATATTTGTTTGGAGCAGGTACTAAACACTCAGATATTTGCAATACACTGATTTGATCAATGACAGTGATTCTTTTGACTCGACCTCAGCTGTAGTGACACAGATTGTATTGATACCTGGATACTGGACTGATATGTGTCTTACTGGAGGTAGAAAAGAGGCAGAAGGAGTGGTTGTCTGAAAGTATTTCCGTGAGCCGTATCCTGTCTGCAGCATTCTTGGCATCAGGAAGTCCTGGGTGGCAAAAAGGATTCAGAAAACTAACCCTACACTCTTAAAAATAAAGGTGCTTCAAAAGGTTCTTCAAGCGATGCCGTAGAAGAACCATTTTTGGTTCCACAAAGAACCATTCAGTCATAGGTTCTTTAAAGAACCATCTCTTTCTTACCTTTTTATAATCTGAAGAACCTTCTTTCGCCACAAAGAACCTTTTGTGAAACAGAAAGGCTCTTCAGACCTTTATTTTTAAGAGTGTAAGTGGCACTTAATAGCCTGTAACACTGACCCAGCAGAGGTTAGATTATTTTGCTAACATAGTGAGAGTCGATCTCAACCTCCGATCCCTGTTCAGTGGTTTGGAAACAGTGTAACCGGAGACTCCTGTACAAGGCCCCCCACAAGTAGGTTGTTTTGCAGAATCAAGTGGCTACAATGCTCTCCATGCTGGTGAATTATTAATGTTTTGTCAGGGCAGTTAATTTCAAGTTAATTGAAAAATGTTGGTTGTTGTTTACAGTGCTTTTTTTTTTACCTCAATATTGCATTTTATCCCAATTGTTTTGCTTATTCAGATGTGAGTCATTCACACATTAGCAGTGAAATCATGCTAATTGAGGGAATGGAAACAAACAAACACCTCACAAAATTTCAAAACAAGTAAATAATTTATATAACACACTTTAGGAGCTATACATTTCACTTTACATCCTATACGCTACATTAACCTCTACATGTGGTTAGAGGCTTAGAGCAAAATAATAAGGCATAAATGCTTATTATTCATCTCTAACTTCTAAAATATAAATTTGCAATTATAATTTCTTTGATATGATCAAAAACGTAGATTTGAATGCAATGACATTCATTTGATCAAAAGTGTATAAAGATTTATATGTGCTGCTCTTTTGAACATTTATTCATCAAAATCATGTATGTTCAAAATATACATGTTCACCAAAATTTGAAGCAGCACAACTGTCTGCAACATGTATAATGATAAGAAATGTTTCTTGAGTAGCAAATCAGCATATTAGAATGATTTCTGAAGGATCATGTGACACTGAAGACTGAAGTAATGGCTGCTGAAAATTCAGCTTTATCAACACAGAAATAAATTACATTTTAACGTATATTAAAATAGAAAACATTTATTTTAAATTATAATGATATTACACTATTTTACTGTTTATACTGCTTTTTTTTTTTACCAAACAAATGCAGCCTTGGTGAGCTAAAGAGACTTTTAAGAAAACTTACCAACCTTAAATCAAGTGAATATATAGCTCTCTCTGTATAAAATGACTAAATTTATATACAAAGGTAATATAAAACCCCTAATGCTAAAAAGAGACCCATATAAATAGAACAAATGCTCATTTATGGCGATGAACATGTGTTAAAGTATTCAAGACGCTCTTACCGGCCGTGGATGAGGATTGTTCCTGCGATATGCAGAGGACGGTCTGGGCCGGGTGGGTTTGACCCGAGCCGGGGAACTGAACTCCTCTGAGTAGGTGCTGCTGAAGTGTAGCTGAGGACCCATTTCCCCTGTGTACGGTAAGAGTGTGTCTGCAGCTCATAGACTGATCAACCCTACCTCACTCCCTCCCTCTCATCAGCACCTCTGCTCTAGTGCTGCCATGCTCCTCTTCTCTATCTTAATCCCTCAGACCTTTCATCTTTCTATGGGGTATTCGGATTTATTGACTCAAAAACGAAATTCTGCAATTGTTTACTCATCCTCCAGGTTTGTAATGACATAAAGTTGAGTAAATGATGGCAGCATGTTTCTTTCTCTTTAATCCATTTATCACTCTGCCCTTTTTGGCTGTCACTGACTTTGAGATCAAACAAAAGGTTCAAATCACATTTGAAATTGTAGTACACACAAAGCATGTCCTAAGCAATCATATGTGATGTCGTTCTGGCCCTGTTCTGTATTACACGCTCCAGTGAGGAGAGAAAAAGAGAGCTGGCAACTGGATAATCTGCATAGATATCCGTCTGTCACCAGAATTGAGCAGCCCCAGGTTTCATTCCCCCTTCAGCCAGTGATCAATAATTCAAGCCTTAGATCCTGTGTGTCTTTTGTGGCCCCTGTTCAGCGGGACCTGACTGAGAGTTGAACAGGTGAGGTGAGATCTGTTTGTTTGTCTGGACAAATGCCAGAAATATAGCTGGAAAAATGGGGATGTTGCTTTCACACTAATATATACAGAAATATAATTATATTAAAAAAATCTAAAGATGAGTTATTTATTTAGAATACTGAGAATTTTAAAACAATAAAAAAAAAATTGGAGAAGGCAAGAATCCCCAGTTTTTTTCAATTTACTTTCTAAAGTACACTCTATGGAGAGGATAACATATGAAATTAAGAGCAAAAGTATATATTTTGAAAAGATATGGGCACCTTTAAAATCAAAGTATATATTATAAAATAAAGGAATGCATATTCTAATTACCTCTTTATACAATTCTGCCCCCTTTTAATTTATTCATTATCTTTATTCATTTAATTAATATTAATATTAATTAGTTTTAAATAATATTATTTGAATTATTTATTAGGAATTAGGTGTCATTATAAGAGTTTAATATGAATATGTGGAGGCTTTTTTCTCTATATATTTTATATGAAAAAGTGTTTATGTCTGCATTTAGTTTATTGTTCTTATTTTTATGCATTGGTGATGGGTATTATCACAAAAGGGAATAAAAAGTGAAGGAAGATAAAGTAGAAGGAAAAATGAAGAACAACTATTGGTAAAAAAAGAAGTTGTCTTTAAAGGAAATGTTTATTTGTATAACTGTATTAAATGTGCTTGAATTTAAAGACAAAGTATAAAAAAAAAGATTTAAAAATCCTAAATTTAAAAATTAAAACTATGGATATTATTATTTATTTAGCATTTAATACACTTTTGAAAAAGATATTAGCAAATGGTTGTGAAGGATAGGAAGTATTTTCTTTAAAAAAAAAGAAAAAAGAAAGAAAAAGCATCATGCAAGTCTTCAGTGTATGATCTTTCAGAAATCCTTCTAATATGCTTATTATCAATGTTGCAAACAGTTGTGCTGCTAAATATTTTAATGGCAACTGTGATAAATGTATTTTTTTCTGGAATCCTTGATGAATAGATCATTCAAAAGAACAGCATTTGTTTCTAATAAAAATCTTTTGTAATATTATAAATGTCTTTACTGTCGATTTAATGTGTACTTGCTGAATACAAGTATAAATTTCTTTACAAAAAAACATCTTACTGAACTTTTGTTGGTCTTTGAATTGTCTGCACTCAAGAATAGTGAACATAATAAATTTCCCTTTTTTTGTGAATGAATCTACAGCCATAACTTCAGAATGTTAATGTTCAGTCATTAAAGTCCACAGTAGAGTATAACGATATGATACATTAGGGGAATTTGCTCATATCATCAGAGTAGACACAATATTGTGGATGACAGTAATGAATGATTAATCCTCTATGAATGAAAGGAGTTCTTCATTCATAAGAGATAATCAAGAGAGTCATCATTTAACTGAGCAATTGGCACTTATCCACAGTCACTGTCAGCACCACAAAATATCCTCTGTGGCCGTGCCAACACAAGTAAATCAAATATCCCGTCAGCGACCTATTATGCACAGGACAGTTTTCAGGTTACTCAGACAGTTCCACAGGGAAAAATGTTACATGCATAATTAATGACACGAAATGGGTCTGAAGGGCGGTTTCTGTCAAGTTCTACTTTCTTAATAATCACTCACATAGAGAAATAACCTGTGTGTGCTGTCAGAATGAGAGTGCAAACAACTGACAAAAACATCACAATAATCCACAAAGTAATCCACATGACTACAGTTCAACAGTTAACACCATGTGAAGTGAAAAAATGTGTGTTTGGCCATAAATCATAATAAAATCCACCTACATATTTGTTTTGGACTGATTTTGCTTCTAAACAGTGCTTGATCTGTTGCGAGATGACTTTTTCACTGGAGAAAACAATATTATGAACAATTAATGATCGATTTGTTTATTACAAACACAGCTTTCTAGTTCACAAGACATTAATTGATGGACTGGAGTCAAATGGATTACTTGTGGATTATTGTGATGTTTTTATCATCTGTTTGGACTCTCATTCTAATGGCACCCATTCACTGCAGAGGATCCAATTAGCAAGTGATGGAATGTTAAACTCCTTCAAATCTGTTCAGATTAAAAAACAAATGCATTTACATATTGGTAACTTATGAACCAGTCCTTTAACAAAACAGTTATATTTATCTTTGAAACATTATCAACTGGTGTTCATAAGCTTCTCTTTCATATAGGTGTTCAGTGACAATAATTCCACTACATATAGGTGACCCAGTCCCGCTCACTCTTACTTGGCATCAGGTTCCTTTTTTAAGTGACTCATAACTTATCCATGAGTTCCGTTCTACTCCCGACATATCAATTTTACATGGGTAATCATCTAATTTAGTCTCTTTGCCTTCATTGACCAAAGTGTAAACATACAGTCAACTTCCAAAAGGATTTCTGATTGCAGAATGAGCAAAGTAGCCAACTACTAAAAGAGAGAAGTGATCTTTAATTTAAAAAAGGGAATCAAACAGAAACAGAAGAGACTGCAAGGGAATTATAAAATACAAGGTAGCCACTTTAAATTCTAGACGTGAATTCGAAAAGTTTTCAGATGTTGTAGACATCTCTGTGCACTGGTTCTTTGATGTGTCTGCTTTACTCCAGTTTATTGGTTCTTGGCTTTCACGGTTGCTTTCAGCTTAGTGTAGACATTGCCAAAGGTCTGCAAACAACAAGAAATGATTAAAATAAATTAACCAAGCCACACATTAAAGAAATATGGGATTACAGATTCTGATTACTGATAGACTTTCAATTCCAACCTATGCAGGTATAATTAGCATACTGACCCCAGATCTCTAATTAGTTTGGTATACATTACCCATGGCTCACCTGGATTGCATAATAAACTATTCCAAGGTATCCAGCTATACAGCCACCCAAAAACAAGTCAAAGGTGGCAGGCTTCACCCTAAAAAAGTGAATAGTCAAATAAAAATGAATAAAATAAAAAAATTAACAAACTAAATTAACACTAACTAAAAGAGGGGGAAAAACTATTACCGAGAAAAAACTTACACTAGAATACATTGTCATTTTAAAATGATTTTATAATAACTCTTTCTAAAATAATAATAAATGAATGCATTTTAGTTTTAGTTCTTAATACATTGTTTATTATTACAAAACTTGTTAAACTAAAATAAAATTAAATAAAAACTAATATACAAAGTTAATACACTGAATGTAGAAACTGGAAAATACAAAAAACTAAAGTAACCAAAGGAGGATAAAATGGAAAAAAAATTAAAACTCCATGAAAAATAATAGAACAATAACAACAGAACAATAAGGGATTTTAAGTTAACCATATTTACGTTGTCTTTTTGAATGTCCCGTTTCATTTGGAAATGCACCATATTACTAATGTAAAAAGGGTTTTAATGCTGTTTCAGGTTGACTTTAAAACCATCTTCAAAGCCTCAAAACAACAAATGAGAAGACTCACCTGTACATCATCATTGGTTGTTTCATTTGATCAAAGAATGTGATTTCAGGATCCCTAGAAAAGTCAGACAAAACAGGCTTGATATGTCTGTATCGGTGTGTGTTTGGGTGGCTGTGGGTTTGTAGTTTTGCTGTTTTCAGAAAGTGTGTTGGTAAACATTGTTTGAACTTTTGCTACAGCCAAGGTAAAAAGAAAAATGAATCCTGGCTCTGTGAATTTATGCGTGTTTGAAATCTGCATTTGTAAACCTGCTACAGAAGTCTTTTGAAGTCTTGCTTCAGGCTATTGATGAGGTGAAATATTTTGGCCATGTCTGTGTGTGCGTACCTTCGGTCCGGGTGGAACGTGTGTCTATGGACCTGCCGTAGATAGTGTTTGAACTCTTGGTAATAAAATGCTTTGCTGTGATTACAGGATTACCAAAGTATCATTACGGGTACTTAAATCAAAGGTACCGGATTTAAGCATACTGTAAATTCAATTACACATGGGAATCATATGGAATTCAATGATCCAGATTCCAATTTTTTTTTTTTTTAAGTCAAAAGAGTAATTGGTTATGGAATCTGTTAGACTAGACTAGTCATGCTGCATGGATATGATTCAATAAAAAAAATTCATTTGGTTGTGATTCACTAAAAAGAACAGATTCATAAGAGACATTTGTTTAGGAATCAGACTGTACTGGTTGAGCTCTATTTATAGATTTACCGAAAAGATCCAGCTAGTTTGGGGACTGGACTGATTGCAATGTATGTTTCTGATTCACAAAAAAGAACCAACTCATAAGTGTCATTAGTTGCAAATTATACTACATTACATTGATAACGCTTTTTTGATTTGGTTTTGATTCACTAAAAAGAACCGGCTCATAAAATGATTTGTTCAGGAATTGGATAGGTTGCACTGCATGTTTTTTGATTCATTAAAAAGAACTGACTCATAAGACTCATTCTTTTGGGAATTGGACTGGTTGTGCTGCATGTTTTTGATTCACTAAAATGACCCCAGCCTCAATTCTGGTATACAATACTGTGCGTTTCACACTGAATAAAGCTTTGGCAGTTCTGAATTACAATTGTCAGTTCCCAACAGTAAATTCAATACAATTTTCACTGGTGGGGCTTTGAGAGGCCGGCAATGTGAATATGTTCATTTCTGATCAAGGTGTTTGAAAAGGTCAGTTCCCACAGCAAGTGAACCATGTCAATTGACAACATACATTAATCATTCCGAACCATGTTTGGGGGGAGTGTGATGTATTATGTGACCAAAAACGATTAAGAATTTATTAATATACACTCAAAAAGGTTCCTTCAATCTAGTTGTGCTGTGTGGGTGTGTGTGTGTGTGTGTGTGTGTGTGTGTGGACATTAATGAGTGTGACTTACAGGAGCAAGACCGAACGAGTCATAATGGGCCGTAATTACAATAGTGGGTGGGTCTTCTCCAGCCCCAGGAAGTACTCCCTTGAAATGAAGCAATAAATCGACTTGACTGACAGGTTTAATTATAGCCCAAACACTATTACGTTGTACAGAAAAGGATAGAGTTGCTGTGTGTGGGTAGCTGTCATTCTCACCTCTAAAGTAATGATGGTGGTATCAGTAATAGGCTGGATGGGGGAGTTGTTGCTTACTAATATTTGGAAGGCAGTGGTGGTGATGATACTACGGAGAACTGAGAAAAAGAAAGTTGATTCACAAGACTTAAAATTAACAGCAAATCTGCTTAAATTAATATTTACTTAGTATAGCACTTGGTACACTCCAAAAATATTAATGTAAATTTATGTATATATAATTTATGCATATATAATTTCCATTTGGATTGCACAGTTTTATTCTAACTACTAAACTAAAACAAAAAACAAACAAACCAAGAAAAACAAAACAAAACAAATGAAACAGGTAAGATTTCTGTAATAGTACTAATAATTAAACCACTGAACATTTTTATATATTTTATTTTAATTTAATATTGCTTGTTTCATGTCATATTTTAACCATGTTCATACTTTTTAACAGATTCAATTTAATTGTTTCCAGAAATAACAAAATTATGCTAACTTTAAACCATCTCAATAAATACATTTTTAAAATAAATTTAAATATTTAAATAAATGAGGCTAGATGCAAAGGTAATAATAAACATTGCCTTTGAAAATAAATGCAGAAATCTCTTTCCTGTTTCATGTATGTATGATTGAGAATTTGTTTATATGTTAAAATAGTGTAATTCAAATAGATGGAAATTTTATATCCAATTCAAATACATAAATCTTAAATTTAGGCATAAATATTTACTTAGCATTGGTGTTTAATTAATAATGGTGCAATTATTTTATTTTATAATTTTATTTTATTAGGCAAGTCATTCACTCACATGCACCTACAATTAACATTTTTTTTATTATTATTTTGTTTAATTTAATTTTGTATTTGATCTTTAACCAACCAAATCACTTGAATAACATTTTTTTTGCTAAATACAGGTGCAACTCAATAAATTAGAATGTCGTGGAAAAGTTAATTTATTTCAGTAATTCAACTCAAATTGTGAAACTATTGTGTATTAAATAAATTCAATGCACACAGACTGAAGTAGTTTAAGTCTTTGGTTCTTTTAATTGTGATGATTTTGGCGCACATTTAACAAAAACCCACCAATTCACTATCTCAACAAATTAGAATATGGTGACATGCCAATCAGCTAATCAACTCAAAACACCTGCAAAGGTTTCCTGAGCCTTCAAAATGGTCTCTCAGTTTGGTTCACTAGGCTACACAATCATGGGGAAGACTGCTGATCTGACAGTTGTCCAGAAGACAATCATTGACACCCTTCACAAGGAGGGTAAGCCACAAACATTAATTGCCAAAGAAGCTGGCTGTTCACAGAGTGCTGTATCCAAGCATGTTAACAAAAAGTTGAGTGGAAGGAAAAAGTGTAGAAGAAAAAGATGCACAACCAACCGAGAGAACAGCAGCCTTATGAGGATTGTCAAGCAAAATCAATTCAAGAATTTGAGTGAACTTCACAAGGAATGGACTGAGGCTGCGGTCAAGGCATCAAGAGCCACCACACACAGACGTGTCAAGGAATTTGGCTACAGTTGTCGTATTCCTCTTGTTAAGCCACTCCTGAACCACAGACAACGTCAGAGGCGTCTTACCTGGGCTAAGGAGAAGAAGAACTGGACTGTTGCCCAGTGGTCCAAAGTCCTCTTTTCAGATGAGAGCAAGTTTTGTATTTCATTTGGAAACCAAGGTCCTAGAGTCTGGAGGAAGGGTGGAGAAGCTCATAGCCCAAGTTGCTTGAAGTCCAGTGTTAAGTTTCCACAGTCTGTGATGATTTGGGGTGCAATGTCATCTGCTGGTGTTGGTCCATTGTGTTTTTTGAAAACCAACGTCACTGCACCCGTTTACCAAGAAATTTTGGAGCACTTCATGCTTCCTTCTGCTGACCAGCTTTTTGAAGATGCTGATTTCATTTTCCAGCAGGATTTGGCACCTGCCCACACTGCCAAAAGCACCAAAAGTTGGTTAAATGACCATGGTGTTGGTGTGCTTGACTGGCCAGCAAACTCACCAGACCTGAACCCCATAGAGAATCTATGGGGTATTGTCAAGAGGAAAATGAGAAACAAGAGACCAAAAAATGCAGATGAGCTGAAGGCCACTGTCAAAGAAACCTGGGCTTCCATACCACCTCAGCAGTGCCACAAACTGATCACCTCCATGCCACGCCGAATTGAGGCAGTAATTAAAGCAAAAGGAGCCCCTACCAAGTATTGAGTACATGTACAGTAAATGAACATACTTTCCAGAAGGCCAACAATTCACTAAAAATGTTTTTTTATTGGTCTTATGAAGTATTCTAATTTGTTGAGATAGTGAATTGGTGGGTTTTTGTTAAATGTGAGCCAAAATCATCACAATTAAAAGAACCAAAGACTTAAACTACTTCAGTCTGTGTGCACTGAATTTATTTAATACACGAGTTTCACAATTTGAGTTGAATTACTGAAATAAATGAACTTTTCCACGACATTCTAATTTATTGAGATGCACCTGTATATCATACTATAATGCATAATAATACATTTGAGTGGCTACAGCAATTACAGCCAAAATATTACATAATTTTGTCTTTTTTTTGTACTCGGCAGTGTCCCTCTCACCTCTCACTAGAACAGAAGCAGACTTAGTTGCTGCAGCCTGAGTGACTTCTTCATACATACAGAGCAGCTGGTCGTCCTCTGGGACCACATATACAGGCATGAGGGTCTCCTTCTGCAGGACCTGAGATTCAGCCACCATAAAGCCCTAGAGACAGGAAATTCATTTTCTGACCTTTAGCTAATCAGGCTGGGGAATTGAGAGGTATCTAATGTAATCTACTTCCTTCGTTGATCACAAATAACCTACAGTTACTGGAAGAAACAATGAATCAGCAGCAATACATCAAGCGTAAGTGCGCATAACTGCAAGAGATGTTCCTGAATGACCTGCACAATATCCTCTGGTACTGAAGAGATGTTTTGGGGTAGCAGTATCAAAACGGCTGCTGCATTCTGCTTTTTGGCCTCTAGGTAGCGCTCTGTGGAGAAATCAGGCAGCTTCATGATCACACATCGGCGAGTCAGACTTGTATCCACAGCTGATCGTGCTTCTGCCACCACAATAGCTCCACGGCAACCTGAGGGTCAAAGGTCAGAGTCTAAATATCATGATCACCTTTGCACAGATACAATGAAATTAGTGTGTGCCCTTTTCAAATGAGTGCATTCTTAATTATATCAGGAAATGAGATTTCCAGTGGGGTGTTTTTTGTGGTTCGGCATCTTTTTCAGAACTGCATTCTAGTCTTACTATTTTTATTTTACCTTATTTTTTCTATGGGAGAAACAGAGGAACAGAAACAATAATGTTTGAAATAGCATACTGCCTGTTTCCCACAATGCATTGTGCTTGATGTGTTCTTCCATTTTTAGTTTGACAAAAAAGTCAAGTTTGGAATCAAGATTTTTTAAGTTTTTTTTTTTTTTTTTAAAGAAGTATCTTATGCTCACCATTGCTGCATTGATTTGATCCAAAATACAGTAAAACAGCAATGTTATGAAATATTATTACAATTTAAATAACCATTTTTTTTATTTTAATATACTTTAAAAATCTAATTTATTCCTCATGGAAAAGCTGAATTTTTAGCAGCCATTACTCCAGTCTAATGTACTGATTTGGTTCTTAAATATTAACAATGGTTCTTTTTATTATCAATGTTAAAAACATTTGCTACTTAATATTAATGTTGATTCTTTGATGAATAGAAAGTTTAAAAATAGAAATCTTCTGTACCATTATAAATGTTTTTGCTGTCACTTTTGACCAATTTAATGCATCTTTGCTGAAGAAAAGTAATAATTTATTTCACAAAAATACTGTTTTACTGTATTTTTGATTAAATAAATACAGCTTTGGTGAGCATAAGGGTTTTTTTATTCAGAAAATAAATAAATATTTCAAACTTTTGACTGGTAGTGTGTTTTTTTTCCACAAAATGGGATTAAAAATAAACTTCAAAACGTTTTATTCTTCTCATCCAGTAACACAAGTATTATTGTAAAAGAAATGAGCAAATAATGTGTTGTTGTAAACGCACAACTGTAGACAATTAGATATATTTATAATTATTTTATCATTTAAATTTAGGCTTAGACTATGCCTTTAAACTGTGGCGTGTTACCATGTTTGTCCTGATGTAAATTGTACTGCTGCATCCTGTACGCGTTGAACTCATAGGAGGATGCTGCCGGCAGGGCAGACGCATGCAGGAGATGCACTGACAGCAGCAGAAGTGCCGCCACTTTCGAGGTTCGAAGAGTCATGCTGACACCCCACATTTGAGTCCAAAAAAATGTCTATGAAAAATGCAATAAGGGATATTAAAAACAACTATAAACCTGTTTTTTCCAAGTGTGTGAATCCTTATAATCCAGTTATTTTATTTTGCAGTTTCTGGGCCTGTAAAGTTTGCAAATCCCTGATCGACAGAATAATCATTTTCTTTCAAATAAACTAGTATCTTGCATAAATGCCAGAATTACCTTTAAACATAAATGTGACCTTGGACCACAAAACCAGTCATAAGTAGCTTGGGCATATTTGTACCAATAGCCAAAAGGGCTGGGCGGTATATCGAATTTGTACGATATATCGATATTTTCTTTATAAGTGATTCGATATGAGGCAATACCGTTTATATCGATATACAGTAGTTTGATACGAGCGTATCTGAAAATATAGCGGAGGACACAGACTGAGCTGCTGTGGTGAAAGCGCATAATTCAATTTGTTCTAAGTATGTGACAAGCTTCATATTAAGGCCTTTAAAAACTGTTAAGACATAGTTTATCGTTTCGTTTCGCATATTAGTTTAAGCGGCTCCCCAGTCAGCAGAGACACTAGGCTACTCGCGCTATTTAATGTGTTTGAGATGTGTTGTCTTCCTGAATGCATAACACAGGTATATTCTCCATCTGTAAATGTTAGAAAGCCATGGAAATATTTCCATTTTTCTGTCAGAAGTGCATGAGCCTTCTGCTTTGGGATTCTTCGCTAGACTTCAGTGAACGAGCGCCGCCGCACGCATGCGCGCCAAACAGACAGAGCTCAATTAAATAGGAGTGCAATAATTCT